GGTATATAATATATAGATTTAAGTATGGGATTTCCATCTTGCTGTGACGTCATAGGTTTTTGCAGAAACTGTTATTAATTCAGATTTATTCCCAATAAATCAGTTTGTTTTGGAAGAATGCTTTTCTATAGGTGCAATGAAAAATCTTCAAAAAATGTTTCCAAGGGCAATAACTCTTCCTCCTGTATCTTCATTTTGGCATTTTCCTTATTGAACTTCTAATGTAATTTATTTTTCCTGATATTCACACTTCAAAAATAGCTGATAAGTAGCAGATATTTAGGAACTTTCAACATCGGAATTATACATTTGAAAAATGTCTTAAATACAATTTTTATAATTCTGTTTACAAAAAAACATATTTTCTTCTCCTTAGATCAGATTGAATTTCGTAGTAAATATTCTCTTAGAAACAGGACATCCTCATTATTAATGCCTTTAGACATAAATGAAATTCTTTGGTAAAGCATATTTTAATGTCTGCACATCACATTACACGCGACATGTAATATCTACAGCAAAACTCGGTTATAACAAAGTCACTGGGACCTGTAAAATTACTTTGTTATATCCATAATTCGTTATAATCGTTTAAGAAAGTCATTAAATTTATATAGCTGGGGATCCAAGATGACTTCGCTATATCCATGCATACATTCGCTATATCCGTGTTCGTACTAAACTAGTTTAGCTGTATTAATTCTTTCTATCCAATTTCAAATACATATTTATATTTAATAAAACATATTGAAAGTGTTGAATTTTATTTTGTCACAGAAAAACAAAACCTTGTCAAACTGGTGTAAATTGGGAGTGGTGTTTCTTATTATTATTGGTATGTCTGTTTTGATCGCTCTAGCTTCTGTAACCAACAGAGAAACAAGGCAGATCACAACCATAACAGGTGATATGCCACAGAAATCTACCTTTGAACAAGAAAAACAAGGTACTTAAATTGTATGTACAATATTTCAACCTGTTTCGCCATCTTTTGACCCTATTTGAAACGACGTGTAATCATTTTTCCTAGCTCTTTTTTCCCATATAAAAAAGCATTTTAATTGTTACTATTTTAAAATTGTTATTTTTTTTCCTATTAGACTGCTGTAAGAAAAATACTGGAAATGTTGAAAGCCAAATTCTTAAAAACGACAGGTATCTGGTTAAAATGTATTTTCAATCTAATATAATACATATCAAGAGCTTTCAATGTAAATTAAAAATGTCTATTTATAAAACAAAGAATCCTTTGGATTAATGTAGCTATATTGCACAGTATGATATTATTCAGCAAATATTAAAATTTGAGCAAAATTTCTATTGTACATTGTTTTGTTTGTGTAATTTGCCCAGAAGTTCGAAAATTAAGCATCTTGCCATGAAACGTATAGTAAAGCTACCTATGTTTTTGAGATGGTTCCAAAAATACCCAGATGCTTAGCTTTGCATGAACCCTGAACTCAGTTTAATTTTTTTATATAACTTTTGAAATACATTGTTCATATAACTCGAATTCCTTGCGATAGGATGGTAGGAATTCTATCGTCATGAAAATTACACGCCCATTATAAAAATTTTGAATATATGATTCCAAGAAAAGCACGCAAATCTTCCAATCATATTCAAAATTGATTAATATAAATATTAAGCAAAAAGTACATTTAAAGATATTGCTGTTTATAAACTTTTTTTGCAAAATTATAACTATTTCTCTCTCAGGTTAAGCTTGAAAGGGGTTTAAAACCAATTTATACATATATAGCAGCAAAACATATTTTAAGTCTATTTCTTACAACATAACAGGCACAAAATATGCCAAAGTACATATATATAAAATGTCAGGGGAAAAAAGCATCAACGAGTGTTGATGATAAAAATTTTGCGAACTAATTTAATAACTTCCATAAAACAATTAATATCAGGTTTCAGTATTCATTACTGTTTAAAGTTGTCCTCTCCGAATTAAGGCATATATGCCACAGTTTTGCCCATGCGCGAATCACGTGGTCTAGGCAGCCACGTGTCATGCTCCGTTGCATTCTGTTCACAAATTAAAAGAAATACATAACTGCAAGTCAGTAGGATTGGTGGATAAGGATATTCTTTCCCAGAAAGAACTTTATGATAACCATAAATCGAGTCCTTTGTCTCAGAAACGTCGTTAGAAAAGACGCCTTCGTTTAAGCAGTTCTGATATGATTAAAATCTAAAGAAAATGATATTTTAAGGATTTGAATTTAAAAATTAAACTCAAACCATATTGGGGTAAAGTATCTTATAGAATTTAACTTTGCCATCTAGGAGAACAGGAACCAGCTGCTAAAATTGATCTTCAACCATAAAGAGGTGCAGGATCCATTCAATATTGTGTTGAGAGAGCCTTTTCAATGTTTTTGTTAAATGTATTCAGTAGATGTTCCTGCAACCCCCTCCACCACCCTTGGCCAATGAATTGATAAAACATTGACCTGAAGATACTTCTATTTAAATATCACTGATCGCGGCTAATCTGTTCTTGAAAAGATTTAAAATATATTTCCTATATATTCCTATAATAAACTTTGTCCCTGTTGTTGCCCTTCCCTATCCAAGGGGTCATGTCTGAAACAAACTTAAATCCACACAACCTGAGGATACTTCTATTATAGATGTGTATTACTAACCATGGCTTTTGTTGTTCTCGAGAAGATATTTTAAAGGTCAAGTACGGAGATTTTTGTAAAATTGGAATAATATACGCATAATTGTCTACCGGTCTCATATGATTTAAATTCCCATAGCTGTTAAATTGAAAACCGCCTGGCATGACTTCTGCTGCGCGATTAAAAATTACCTGGGCTATCAATATTTTTTTGGTGACGCGAGTTATCGCCCATAACGAATTACGTCATCAGAGACAACTTTTGACTGCAGTGACTGAGCGAGAGAAGGACAGATCAGGAGTTTACTGGTTGTTTACAAGTGCTTTTTAAAAATTCTTTCTAGGGTTATGGTGTAGTGCACATCTTTGAACTGAGTAGTATAAGCAGCCTAGATAGGCGGGTCAACTGAGTGCACTTTTTGGGTTGGGGGGATAGGTGGGTCAAGGGAGTGCAGCCCCTGGGGGATAGGGGGTTCAACGGAGTGCAGCCCCTGGGAGGGATAGGTGGGTCAAGAGAGTGCAGCCCCTGTGGGGGATAGCCGGGTCAATTCAGTACATATGTTGCATCATCTTTTTAGATCTATTGCATCATCTTTTTGATACCTGTTGCATCATCTTTTTATATCTGTTGCATCATCTTTTTTATACCTGTTGCATCATCTTATTATACCTGTTGCATCATCTTTCAAACTGGATTTATTGAAAACAATAATAAATAACACAGATTTTGATTTTTTTTTCAATTTTTATTTTACAATGAAAAAATACATACATCCAATTACATTTTCTTTTTCTTCTGTCCCTTATCAGTCATCAGGGGTAGTTTCCTCTTGCTTTACCTCTCCTTTTTCTTGAGATTGTTTTTCTTCAGGCGATAAAGGGATGCGACAATATACATACACTTTATAAATAGGCCTATCTGTAAAAATTCCGATAAGCTTCTTTTCTTCTCGAAACCTCTTTTCTATCAATTGATGAAAACACAATCCAAGTTGAATTTTCCAGGAACTCTTCTCCCCACAATAAGGCCCACTCATGATCTCCAATTGGTATTTTTGTTAACCGTAATATCCATTTTTTCTCTCCTTCAGACAGTATTTTTCTTCTCTGGTGTCAAGATTTTTTTCATAATCTTCAGGATCCAATTCCACTCTTTTTACCAACCAAAATTTTTTGTACTTTAAATTCGGTGGCCATTTTAAATAATTTCTGTTGCGTTCATAAAAATTCTGGATGGCTTCTTCTTTAGTTTTCATCCATTTTCCAAAATGTTCTCCGTTAATAGACCAACAATACTCCGTTTCCTCTGTCATATTTTTTGTCTGCTCCATTTTTTTACCTGTGTCCAATTCCAAGTACTCACACAGACTGATCGTCCATGTCCAGCTCCGCTTTATATACCTTTACTGTTGCATCATCTTTTTTATACTTGTTGCATCATCTTTTGATATCTGTTGCATCATCTTTTTTATACCTGTTGCATCATCTTTTTATAGCTGTTGCATCATCTTTATATATCTGTTGCATCATCTTTATATATCTATTGCATCATCTTTTTTATACCTGTTGCATCATCTGTAAGGGGGGCCGTGTGCAAAAAATACCATAGACTTACCTATGCATCGTGACGTCATCCACTGTATAAATACAGGTTTTCTCCGACTTTCGGCTCATTCTACAGTCAGAGCCGGCTTCTATTGGGGTCATGGATTCTACTAGAGAAAAACAGGTACAGGCTCAACGAATATTTGAAACGAAAAAGTACCGAGAGAGAAATAGATTTACCACCTAAACCCATTTCTGAGTATTATCATATGAGACTAGCTCAAGAAAGGACCTCTTCAAAATTTAAAGCGCATGAAAATAGATATGTCGTTCATTTCGATGAATTTCCAGAAGAAGAAGAAAACACAGGATTCGTTCGGCGATTATTCAGAAACATGTTACAAGACTTCAAATCTGAAATGCAATGTAATCCTAACGATTACCTCCGCCTGAACCTTCATCACGATTCTCTGGAATCAGACATTTCGTACGAGTTTACCCAATGTAAAGATTTAAACGAAGACGTCATTTTTAAAAAAATACAAGACGTGCAACAATCCAAAAAGGAGTTCAAACTGGGCGACGGCTCCACTGAATTCGATCTGTTACACATCAAGTATCCTGAAGGAAGTGGTGGAGACAGAACCAAACATTTACAAGTGAATAAGGAGACTTTTAAGAACAATAAAAGAGCCATCGTTCGGATCGTCAATCCCTGGGATAAATTTGTTTAGCTAGAGCCATCGTCGTCACTCGATTACACAGTCAAAAACCCGAACATCCAGACCCCGAATGGGAAAAACAATGGCTTCGTATGCGGAAAGGAGATGTAAGAGCCAATGACCAGAAGAACCAAGCCATAGCCCTCATGGAACAGGCCGAGTGTGATATCACTCAAGCTTGTGGATATGCAGAGTGGACGAAATTACAACAGGTATTAGCTCCTCAGTATCGACTGAAAATATTTCAGTTCAAGTCTACTTCGACTAAACTCACCTTAGAGCGCATCTTCAAAGGCTGGGGAGACGGAACTTGTTTGAACATTTTGTTAGACGACCATCATTACGATGCCATCATATCCATGCCGGGAGTAACGGGGAACCAATATTACTGTGATCATTGCGACGTGGGGTACATGAATGTCACAGAACATCGCTCCAAATGCCCTCATCGCTGTACCTTTTGTTTAGGACATCACCCTAATTGTCCCGATGAAGGGATCAAGATTAAATGCCAGGAATGCCATGGAATGTTTAAGAACAGGACCTGCTACGAAAATCATTTAAAACCCCATAGTAAGAAGACCACCACTACTGTCTGCAATTTAATGGAACAATGCGAGAAGTGTCAGTCTTGGATACCTAAGAAATTATTCCCTCATCACAAGTGCGGAGGACAGAAACAGTGTAAGATCTGTAAGAAAATCGTCGATACCGATCATCAGTGCTACGTACAACAGAAGCTTCAGAAGAAGAAGAAGGGGAAAGGGACCTTAGAGTTTTACATCTATTTCGATTTCGAATGCACTCAGGAAACCGGCATTCACATCCCTAATCTGTGTGTGGCACACCGCGTCTGTCAACATTGCAGTCACTTACCCATAGACCAACCCTGTCCTCATTGTCAACACATGGGACCCCGTCAGCACCTATTTCAAGGACCAGACACCTTAAAGAAGTTCATGGACTGGTTATTACAACCCACTACAGGTACTAAGAATTCCACTTTAGTACACGACGAGGCCATTATCATCGCCCATAACTTCAAAGGCTACGACGGACAGTTCATTTTGAATCACCTGGTGCATTCCTCTTGCCTGAAACCTAACGTCATCATGACCGGCAGTAAGATCTTATACATGGAAATATGCGGACTGAAATTCATCGACTCGTATAGTTTCTTACCGTTTGCATTAGCCAAGATGCCCTCCGCTTTCGGATTCGACGAATTGAAGAAAGGCTATTTCCCCCACTTTTTCAATACGGAACAGAACCAGAATTACGTAGGACCTTATCCACCGGCAGCTTTCTACAAACCGGACGAAATGTCTACCAGTGGACGAAAAGCTTTTTTTGAATGGTACGACCAACAGAGGGGGAAAGTGTTTGATTTCCTGAAAGAGTTTGTAGGGTATTGTGTCTCGGACGTCGACATTTTACGCCGATGCTGTGCAAAGTTTAGAGCCACCCTCAAGAGTTTGGTCAATGTGGACCCTTTCCAGGAATCCATCACTTTTGCCAGTGCTGCTAATTTAGCCTACCGTCGACAATTCATGCCTGAAGACACCATTGCCATCATTCCGAACCTCGGGTATCAACCGGCACGACAATATTCTGCTAAAGCCTTTCGGTGGCTCACCTGGATGAGTCAACAGACTGGATGTCACATACAACATGCCAGAAACGGAGGCGAAGTCCAGATCGGAAATTATACCGTCGACGGATACCAGGAAGCGACTCGCACCGTCTACGAATTTTACGGGTGCTATTGGCACGGATGCCCCACCTGCTATCCCAGTTTACAAACCGAAACTCATCCTCATCGGACCCAATTTACTTACCAGCAATTACACGAAGAAACCCTCAGAAGGACTGGCGATTTAGAAGACATGGGGTATACCGTTCGTGATATCTGCGAGCACGATTTCGATCAGCAAGTGCAAAAAGATGAGAGTTTACAGCAATTTGTAGGAAACCTGGACATTCCGGATCCTTTGAAACCTCGAGAAACCCTGTACGGAGGTCGGACCAATGCTACCCGATTATATTGTGAGGAAGGGGACATGAGATACGTGGACGTCTGTTCCCTATACCCTTACGTGTTGAAACACAGACCATTTCCCGTAGGGCATCCCGAGATCATCACAGACGAGTTCCAGGACGTGAGAAATTATTTCGGTCTCATTCACTGTCGGGTCTTACCTCCCCGAGACCTCTATCACCCCGTATTACCTTATCGGACGGGAGGCAAGTTATTATTTCCCTTATGTCGCACGTGTGCCGAACGACAGGACTCTACGTCTCAAGATCGATGTCCACACACCGACCAGGAACGTAGTCTCACAGGTACTTGGGTGACGACCGAATTACATAAAGCCCTAGACATGGGATATACCTTAGATCGAATCTACGAAGTATGGCATTTTAAAGAAAGCAGTCAGGATTTATTCAGATCTTACATCGATACCTTCCTCAAGATCAAACAGGAAGCGTCCGGATTTCCCCCCGACTGTAAGACCTCAGAACAAGAACAAGATTACATATATCAAGTCTTCGACAAAACAGGCATCCGAATGGACATTCTCAGTATCGAGAAGAATCCAGTGAGAAGAACCATTGCTAAACTCTTTTTAAATTGTCTGTGGGGAAAATTTGCTCAACGGTTGTTATTACCCAAAACCAGATACTTGGACGAAGAAGAGGAATTACAGCAACTCTTACAAGATTCGACTCTCGACATCAAGGGCGTGCAACTCTTAGTCAATAAAGAGAACCCCAATGAAGACAAGATGCTAGTGAATTATCAAGACAAACAGGAATTCGTCGAAGAATGTCCCTTTGGAAACGTGGTCCTGGCTTGTTTTACTACCGCGCATGCCCGCTTACACTTCTACGAGACTTTACAACCTTTAGGAGATCGGGTCCTTTATTTCGATACGGACAGTATCATTTACCAACATCGGGAAGGAGCCTTTAATCCTACCTTGGGTCATAGTTTAGGAGAATGGACCGACGAATTAGACGGGGATCACATCACCAAATTCATGTCGGCAGGTCCTAAAAATTATGGTTTTCGGACGGACAAAGGAACCGAGACCCTTAAATGCAAAGGAATCACTCTCAACCATCGTACCTCCCAGATCGTGTGCCCAGAGACTTTAGAAAAAATGCTCAAAGGAGAAATAGAGGAAGTCACAGTCCCTTATCCCGACAAAATCCAGAGGACTCGTGATCATGAGCTCGTGAACAAACCATTAGAGAAAAAGTATAGAATTGTATATGATAAGAGACAATTGTTACCTTCTTATAACACTTTACCTTATGGTTATTGATATGTTGATATGTTTGTTTTTTTTTTAATTACAAAAAAAAAATTGAATTGTTTTTATGTGTTGTTGTTTTTCTTCTTCCCTATAAAAAGGGGAGCAATACAAATCAAAAGTTCAGTGATGACTGAGAAGTTGCTTGATCAACCCATGCGTTATCCCCAGTATGCTCGGCTCTCAAAGAGAGAAGCTACTTTTGAGCAGGGATGGCCAGAACCTCTCTTAGGAAAAATACCAGACCTAGCTCGAGCCGGGTTTTACTACAAGGGAGTGAAAGATAGCGCTACTTGTTTTCATTGTGGAATGATTTTTAGTAATTGGGATCCCGAGGACGATCCTTGTGTAGAACATGCTTATTGGAACCCCAATTGTCCTTACATCAATCTGTATAAGGGACGAGGGTGGGTAATGAATGTGTTTATTGCGGGTTTAGATCAGCAGGGATATAAACCTTTACCTGAGATTAAACCTCTACTGAACCCACAACCAGACGTCCAGGCTCGAGGAAAATGTCACATTTGTTTAGACGAGGAATTACAAATCGTTTTTCTACCTTGCGGACACGTGTGCTGCTGTGCTTTGTGTGCTCCTTCCTTTCAGTTTTGCCCCATCTGTCGAGGCGAGATTCAACAGTCCAAACGCCTATTTCTGTGTTAACTATAAATAAGACCCTGAACCCAACTTTTCCTTCATTGATCAACATGTATTCCGAGGAGACACCCCTCCCTTCTTTTCAATTGAAACACGAATTTACCATGGTGGTTGCTGGACCCTCGAAATCGGGCAAAACAGAATTCGTCAAGACATTAGTGAACAATCTAGACTGGATCACCCCCAGGCCCGAAAAAATCGTCTGGTGTTATCGGGAATGGCAACCCGCTTACACTTCTTTAAAAGATAAAGTATCTTTCATCCGAAATATTCCAGAAGACGACGAGAAATTAGTAGCCAATTTGAGTGTGCCCCATTTACTCATTTTTGACGACATGATGGGAGGAAAAGCCATCGAATCTATTGTGGATTGGTTTACCCGTAAAGCGCATCATCGGAATACCAGTGTGATTTACATCACTCAGAATTTATTTGATCGAGCTGCTTCTCATCGCACCATTAGTTTGAATGCTCATTATTTAGTCTTATTCAAAAATCCCAGAGACAAATCTCAGATCAGTGTATTGAGTCGTCAGCTAGCTTTACCTCATTTGATGTCTGCTTATCAGGAAGCCACCCAGATACCTCACGGATATCTTCTCGTGGACTTGAGTCCCCAGACCCCAGACCAATACCGATTGAGAAGTCGAATGTTTGAAATGTTGACTGTACACATGCCTCAAGAGTATAAATAAAAGTGTTTCACACTCTTCTGAGTCATTGTTCATTTCAATCTCATCATGGCTCCATCAGCCAAGAGTAAATTAGTGAGAACCTTACGACGTTTACAGCGGGAACGAGATCCCGCGAAGCGAGCCCATTTAATCGAATTAGGGCGTAAAGCCTTATTGAATTGGTTTGCCATGGGAGCTCGCAATTTAATGAAAGGGGTCTTACCTATCAATAAACAGACCCAAAAGTTTATTAATAATCATCGTCAAGATTTAAAGATCATTGCCGATCAATCGGCCAGTGATCAAGACAGAAAAACAGCTATTTTAAAACGCAGAGGTGCTGGATTTCTAGGTGGAGTCATCATTCGTCATTTATTTAAATGGAATAGTCCTAAAAAACGGCGGGTTCGTCGTTTAAAGAGTGTAGTGGTAAGAGTCGATAATAAGAAACAAAGAGTGTTTCCGGATTGGATGGTCCGTGTCGGAGGAGCAGCTCAAAAGAGCAGAAAAAAGAAGAAGAAGAGAAAAGCCCCTCCCAAGAAGAAAAAAGCCCCTCCCAAGAAAAAAGCCCCACCCAAGAAAACAAGCAGAACTGAGAATGGATCGTGCTATGGGACCCATAGGCAGTCAAAGAGCCAGCGATTTAGAAGTGTTTCCTCGAGTGAATGTGGGCATTCCCTCCTCCTCCTCTTCCCCTGGAATTAAAGTTCCCATTCATGTCCCTAAAATCACACGTTTTCAACCCTTGACGGCCTCCACCCCTCAACTACCTAAAGGCCTGAGATATAAATGTCGATATTGTGGAAAAATTTATGTCAGGGAGAAAGCGAGAGATAAACACGAGAGCGACAAACACGGAGGATATGCCCCTCCTTAAGAGAGAGACACTATAAAAGGGAGTGACATGAGAGACTTCACTTCATTGTTTTCAAAGATGGCCAAGAAGAAAAAGGGATGTTGTACGCGATTAAGAGCGCATGCCCCTCTTTTAAGAGTGTTATCGGACCCTCACTATTCCTCGTCTTTAAAAACGGGGATTTTAAAACATTGTTCTGGAGATTGTATTCTGAAAATTTGTGAGATCGTCTACAACCTATTAAAAGGGGTGTTACCTCTCAATTCGGCTCAGAAACGAAAACTAGCTCCAAAGAAACACATCTTAAGGAGACTGGTCCGACCCCAATCCATACAGAAAAGACGAGCTTTATTAGTACAACAAAAAGGAGGAGGTATTTTACCCCTTTTAATCTCAGCAGCACCTTTACTGTTGGATGCCGGACATTCTGTCTATAAAGCCATTAAAAAGAAGAGGAACAACAAGATACAAAAATGAGTCGTAAAATGGTGTTAGTACCTGAAGATCTGTTGAATGAACTCAAAGGTAAACTCCCCAAACCTCCGGAATTTCAATCTACTCTGAGTATAGGTCAAGAATTGGACCAGATTACCAGACGTGAAGATTTAACTCCAGAAGAAAAAGTGGCTTTATACGGTCAAGAACTTCATCGGTATAGGAATTATTTACAACAAGCGAGAGAGCCAACGACTACCAAAAAAACCCCTGCACCCTTAGCCCCAGCAGCACCAGCAGCCCCAGCCCCCGCAGCAGCAGCAGCAGCTCCAGCAGTAGCAGCACCACTAGCAGCCTCAGATCCCGAGATCGATCAACAAATCATTCAAAGCGTGAATAAACCCATGCAAAGAAAAGCTGAATTATTATTAAGTCATTTAAAGGAACGTCTTGACTTGGGATAAAGACGGAGAAATCAGTTATCGAGGTCAAAAAGTGCCCGATTCTAACATTGTGGATATAATGGCCGAAAACATGAGAACCAGATCCTTGAAAAATCGTCCGGTGCCTAAAGGATTAGATGAATTTGCTCAAGCTTTAAAAGAGACCCGTACTCCCATGGTTTACTTGCAAAATCGAGACCTTATAAAAGCCATGCAGAAACCAGGAAAAATCAGTACTCCTAAAGGGGCTTTGAGTGACGACGACGACGAAGAGGAAGAGAGCGGATTTCAGGATGCTTCCTCTTCTTTTTTGACCCCTATTAGTCGACCTGTAGAGGCAAGATCAAGGGTGTTAAAAACATTCACACCTAAATATAGTCTATGGCATGTCAAACGTTGCAATATTTGATAATCTTGTGATGTATATTCAAAATCTTGTGATGTATGTTCGAAATCTTGTGATGTATATTCAAAATCTTGTGATGTATATTCAAAATCTTGTGATGTATGTTCGAAATCTTGTGATGTATATTCAAAATCTTGTGATGTATGTTCAAAATCTTGTGATGTATATTCAATATCTTGTGATGTATATTCTAAAACTTGTGATGTATATTCTATAATCTTGTGATGTATGTTCGAAATCTTGTGATGTATATTCTATAATCTTGTGATGTATATTCAATATCTTGTGATGTATGTTCAAAATCTTGTGATGTATATTCAATATCTTGTGATGTATATTCGAAATCTTGTGATGTATATTCTATAATCTTGTGATGTATGTTCGAAATCTTGTGATGTATATTCGAAATCTTGTGATGTATATTCAATATCTTGTGATGTATGTTCAAAATCTTGTGATGTATATTCAATATCTTGTGATGTATATTCGAAATCTTGTGATGTATATTCTATAATCTTGTGATGTATGTTCGAAATCTTGTGATGTATATTCGAAATCTTGTGATGTATGTTCGATAATCTTGTGATGTATATTCGAAATCTTGTGATGTGTGTTCTACAATTCGGTGATGCGTGCAATAAAATTGCATGACGCAACAGAAAAGTAAGGACAATTTTCATTGGTTAGAAATAACGAAAGTAGCTGAAGCGTCGGGAAAACCATGCAGGTGAGAAAAAACACAATCATCAGTTTGTTTATTGCAGCACTTATTACGAGATGCACGAGTGTTGTTCCTGGTGACATGATGGAGATATTTCGGCCTGCTAGGGAAAAAACTCAGTAAACGTAGATATATTGACAAAATTTGTAGGTACTTGTAACGATATGTCACGATGCTGCATTGTCAGATACAGTATTTATACATGCATGCTAAAAAGTTAAATCTCGTAGTAATCAATATAGCAGAAGAATAATGAAGAGTACATACTACAAAAAATGTGCAATTTGTAGCAAGATTAATTTTTGTTTAACAGCTGTTTTTATTACATTTTATTTCGTATTATTACTACCAAATACTGATACCGTTTGTTAATGTTATGCACATGGTTATCTTGTACTTGCAAGTAAATGAAACATTTAAAAAAAAATAATGAAAAAATAAGTCATTTAGCTTATTTGATAATAACATGCTAAATGAACAGGTTTTGCTTTTTAATTCTCCTTCACTCAGTCTTTGTATAATGTATATTTTTAGACGAGCTGATCGCCAACCAGGAGATCAGAATGATCGCATCTGCTCCTGCCACTTTAAGGATGGTAAGAAGGAGGGGGACTCTGCATATTTTGCATGGAATGAAGGAAAGGCCATGGATTTCTCTGATCCTGAATGTACAAAAAGGTGAAATTATTTTTCAAAATGTGACCGACATCTTGTTTTTGGATGGTGGGTGGGTGGAGTTTAATTGAGAATATTTTACTAAAAAACTTTAAAAGGGTACATGTATAAACAGAGTAGCTTACAACTGAATAAAAAAATAATTCAAGTTTAATTATTTTACAAAGGAGGAAAAAACTCAAAAGTGAGGAGTCCCTGTCATCTTCACAGATGGACCAGTTGCAGATTCCACAAGCACCAAAATGTCAATATCAAGAAAAAGTAAAGCTCATTTAAAACACCAATGATGACAAATGACCAACACTGAAACATTTTCAATAATTTTTAATAATATATAAAGTTCTTTTAACTGTACATGATTTACAATATATTTTCAGTTGATATCAGAGCACAACTACTCAGTATCCTGCACATTTAACTGTACTCAAGAAATGCAGCGCCTCTCAACAGAAATACAACTGGAAAAGGAATTGCTTGCCCTAAAAATAGAGTCTAGTAAAAGGAAGCCAATATCAATCCACGATATTAAATACAACGAAGAGAAGGTACATTTAAAGGAATTCCAATTGTGATTTCCTATTTCCTAACAATTTCAGTTACTGTAATAAAAACTTGCCATTGAGGGATGAACATCTTAGATTGACTGTTATGTTAACATATTTTGTTATTATTTGGGAGTGTTAGGTCTCTGATCAGCAGGGGCATTTTCTCTATATAAGAAGAAAATGGAGACTCCCTACCCACCCGATGTATTTTGTCGGACAGTTTTCTGTACATTGCAGGTAAATTTTTTATTTATTAACTTTCCAGCCTCTTATTGTATAGTACATTTTGGGGTTTGAAGTCAGTTTTTGCTTTTCTTTAATTTTTAAAAAAAATTATTTAAATTCTCCTTTTCTTAGAATAAAATTCAAAAAGTAGCTTCTGATTGTAAAGTATAAGACTACAGACATTGAACTTTGATTTGTTATCAAAAGGATTGATTTAAACTTGTCTAAATTAATTGTAAACAAAAATAAAAGGGGGCACCTGCTATTTCTTTAAGCGTTTTTCACTGGGGGGTGGGGAAACTTTTTTGTACATACTTGAGCAATAGGAGGGATTAGATAAGAATCAATTAGTATATCAGAGTCTTAAATAATATCCTTTGCATAAGCATAAAAAAATTCTATATCAGTCTTTTTAAAACCTTTGAATTTTGCTTAATTAACTACGATTTATCCAATTTTGGAGCTTTTTACCTAATTCTGGGTAGAATCACAGGAGTCTGAAGTTTTTATCGTCAAAAAAAAAAAAAAAAAAAAAAAAAATCCGGAAAAAAATTTTCCTACCCTTAACTAAAAAAACCCCAGGATGGCAATGTGTTTTGGGGGGACCCATCTAAACAAAAAGATCTGGGCTTGGTCGGTAAAATCTCGCAACTAATTCAGTATCTGGAGTGTTTGTGCTATTTATTCAAGTTAAGAAATCAAATCTGCTTGACGACTACGGGCTGTTCATGGCCTTTTTTCCAGTTTGACAGCTCGTCCTGGACTCCATGCCACTAAACCGGAAGTGAACTCCGAGGTGAATAAATGACGTAATTGAAGAAAAGAACCAAAAAACAATGCACGTAAAACTTCATGTACAATTTTATGTTACCATACGTGATCAATAAAAAGATATATTTTTCAAACAAAATTATGCTTTATAATGGCGCTTAGTGTAACTGTTTGGCTCTTTGTCGACATGGCTTTTCAGTGATTTAAATTTGGCGCTTGTAAAAACTGAATTATCTGTCCCTGGAACACATCGTCGTACAAGTAAGAAAAAGAATAAATAACTTTTTGAAGTTCTGTTAAATATATTTAAAATAACTGAATAAAATTACGTTTAACAATTATTTATTTTATTTCATTTGAACAAGTTTTTATAAACGTCAAATATACACTGCGAGATTCTCTTCCGGTTTAGTGGCATGGAGTCCAGGATGAGCTGTCAAAGTGGAAAAAGGGCTAGGAACGGCCCGTAGTCGTCAAGCAGATTGAATTTTTCACATTGAATAAATAACAAAAACGCTCCGGAAACTGAATTAGTCGCGAGATTTTTCTAGCCAAGCCCAGATCCATTTGTTTAGGTTGGTCCCCCCAAAACACGTTGCCATCCTGGGGTTTTTTAATTAAGGGTAGGAAAAATTTTTTCCGGATTTTTTTTTTTTTTTTTTTTTTTTTTTTTGACGATAAAAACTTCAGACTCCTGTGGTAGAATCCACCCTTATGAAATTATTGACTCAATTTTGACTTAATATCACTTTATTAACATTAAAGCACAAAAACAATTCATTGTACAAATATTTTATTTCTTACAGTCACCAATATATCCAAATATCATCACCGGCCCAGACGTCATTCACTCCTTTGAATTGTGCTGGTAGCAGTAAGGTGTCATCATTTGAGATGGTCACAGTATCCAATACACTGAAGTCACAGGACTCAAATTTCATACATGTTCAAATTTCATACAGGTAGGTGTATAGTCTTTGAAATTACCACAATTGACTAATTCTGGGACAGGTAAGTATGTAAGTATAGGAATGAGAGCACCAAATCCCCGGATGCACACATGGCTTTGTTTGTTATGGAACATTAAACCGAATACTGAATGGGTAGGCGTTACGCCATTGGCTGAAATCAGGTATTTAATTGTTTTCATTTTAAAGTAAAATTAATGACCTTTGAAATAAATGATGGGATGAGGGAATATTACAGAAACTATAGAAATGCCAGGGAAGATTTTAGGAGTGGGGGTTGATTTTTTATGCCGCGTGTTCTTTACTGCGAATCTCTAAAAGTTGAAAATAACTGCAATTTTGACCTATAAACGCCATGGGACCATGTATTTTTTTCAGTATTTTTTGTTAGGGCTTAGAACAAAGTTTGAAATGATGCTAAAGATTTTTCTGAAATTGTCATAGTAAAGTACTGAGAGGGCCTAAGGTTTGTATGGAGTTCTATGGGAAAATAATTAGTGGTCTTTTCCCTATACAAGATGCTGTCTGATGGCGTAGTGTAGAATGTAGCGTAGAATGTTTTCCAAGTCAGCTTAAATGCAGAGGTTTGTTTTAAAATTTATCATAATGACTTGCAAAAATTTAATGCAGTTAAATTTATTGTATTCTTGAAAGATTGACTGTAACACAATTTTTTTACACAATTACAAATAATCAAATTAATTTGTTTCCAACTTTTTTTCAGGGTCTCTGCCAAAATCTTTTGAGGATTTTTCCTCTGCTAGAGCATTCATGGATGCAATTGAAACAATCCAGGACATCCCAACACATATGGATAATCAGGCCATGGCCTACAGTATGTACAAAAGTTGCCATACTTTTAAAGCAGTAACTTGCGTGCCTCCAAATGGTGCACTTACATTTTGCTCCATGCTGTACCCAGGTTCTACTTCTGATGTAGCTATTGTACGTCACAGCCAAGTTTTACGAAAGTTCAAAGCTGGAGACCTTATTTTGGTGGTCAAAGGTTTCACCATTCATGACCAGTTGCCCCAGGGTGTCTGCTTAATTATAAAAGCTCTTTTATCGACACGAGGCCAGTTTACCATACAAGAAGCAGCACTGTGTTACAAGATTGCTAAAGCACTTATTCATGTGGAAAGAGCCGAGAGGATAAAGAATTACGAGATTCTCCGTCACATACCATCTACTTACAGACCAATCTCAACAAAAATATTTCAACTCTGTTCTTGTCTTGTAAACTTGCAAGCTCCACTTTTGAAAGAAATTACTTAAAGATACATGTACTTATTATAAAATATGATTTCTTTCGTTTGAGGAACAAATTAGACAGAAATCAATTTCTACTTGGTGTGATAATGAATTACTTTTTCGGAATTGCAAGGTTTTCATTCGAATACCTGGTGAATATCACGTGGTTCTTTAGAACCGGTCTCGTTAGCAGGGCTATATAAGAGGTGAATAGTGGTTTAAATACCAGTTTAGGACGACACGTAGAGCACGATAAAGTTTAACTTTTATCATGATTTATTCAATCCAACATAAACATGTATATATACAAATTGATTTTCATATTTTACATAATTATCTTATGTACTCTGTAAAAATAAAGCTGCTGCGTGTCGTTGCTATGTCCAAATGGTGTGTTTGTTGTTTATTGTACTTTCATTTGAAAGTAATGAATGGATTTAGAGTAGAATTTGCATTGGCGTGTGACAGTATACACTAAACAGTGAAGATATTCATACCAAAGTGCAAGGGATAAGCAAATTTTGATTTGTTATCAATGTCAATGGTTATATTTGTTAACTTTGTAGTATGTTGTAATACATATACTTCAGAAAATGAAAATCCCTTTTGTTAGCATGGATTTATTACAAGAATGTTTGGCAATTCCATTCTTCATTTGACAATATAATTTGGAAGAGGGTTTACTTATAATTTTAAATCTCTAGTTTAAAGTATATTTACCTTTAAAGCACAACTCAACAAATTCATGTTTTCAACAATTTATCTATTAAGAAAGACCAAAATGTTACATTTTCACTTTGAGAATAAAATCTTCAATTCATTAATAAAATGATTCTAAATTTTGATATTCTTTTTTTATGTAGTACATAGATTTTATTAATCATCATTGCTATTTAAAATAGTCTTATAAGCCAGAAGTTTTATGATGGATTGTGACATATCATATCATACATTTATGAGACTTAAGAACATTCAACACATTTAACATGATTACCCATTTTCCTTTGTTAGAAAATTCTAGAGGTACAAAACTAAGTGTCAAGAAGTTCAAACCAGAACTCAGTTTTCCATCAGTGCTGGAATGAAAATGTTAATGTAGAAATCTATCAGTTTTGGAACATTTGCTGTCCATTCAATGTCTTTTACTATTCTAATCACAATGCAGTCTACTCTTGTCCACACAATTAAGTCGCAGAATGTTTTGTTACATATGTGTAGCTGGCCTTGAATTTGATGATAGTATGGGTGACTGGTTTTCAGGCACAGGGTATCTTGTTTAAGATCTAAAAAAAAATCAAAAAACACTTAAGTTGTGTTATACCAGTACATATCCCCTCCTTTTTCAATATCTTCATACCATATTGAACAGCTGCACTTGTAAATTAATACATGTTTTGAAATCATTTACTCACCAAGATTTTTAATTTCAAAGTACTGGACAATACAGATTTTTAATGTTATTTACCTGTGAAAAATCCTTCAAATTTTGTGCCCCATCTGCTACTGTTGAAGACGATGCTGTATATGGACACTTCACCTCTACAATATTAGGAATGGCGTCTTTGGCTTCTGGAGTTTGATAAAATACACTGCATGTTGGTGGTCGAACAACTAAGCCATCAGGTGAAGCTCCCAACACTCCGGATTCATGCAACCATATCCTTTTCAGAAAAAATTATAATACTACTGAATGCAAACAAACCATAATACAATTGATTTTGTAATGCAAACAAAGTCTAAGTAGAGCTTTTATAATCCTTCCACTTCAAAAAGCAAATTTTCTGGAATATGTTGGTAACTGAATATTTATGCCCCGCCATGAATATGGCCGGGGCATATAGTGTTTGTCATGTCTATCTTCCGTCCTTCTGTCCTTCCGTCCCACTTTGTGTTTAGCTCTGTTCAAAGCTAAGTTTCAAAGAAACTATCCAAGATATTTTCATCAAACTTCATATGCTGATAGATATTGATGAGAGCTATGCAACTGCATTAACATTTTTTGACCTTGAACTGACTTTTCTTAAATAGTGTTTAGCTCAGTTTTAAACATACCATTCAAGATGGTGTTATCAAACTTTACATGTTGATACAAACTTGCATAGATGATGCATCTAGAGATGAACACTACCGGACATGCTTCGGATGCTGGATCTGACCTACATTTTCCAGATGAGTGACCAAATTAAAGTTTTTGGAGCAGGTCCATTCTTAAGGAACTATAAGCCCTACTTAGACCAAACTTGCTTGGATGATGCATCTAAGGATGGACACTACCAGACTTGCTTCGGATGCTGGATCTGACCTACATTTTCCAGATGAGTGACCAGGTTGAAGTTTTTGGAGCAGATTTATTCCTAAGGAACTATCAGCCCTACTTAGACCAAACTTGCATGGTCGATGCATCTAGGGATGGACACTACCAGACTTGCTTCGATGCTGGATCTGACTTACATTTTCATTCCCAAGTAACTATAAGCCCTACCTAAACCAAACTTGCATGGATGATGCAGCTAGGGATGGACACTACCAGACTTGCTTCGGATGCTGGATCTGACCTATATTTTCATTCCCAAGTAACTATAAACCCTACCTGAACCAAACTTGCGTGGATGATGCATCTAGGGATGGACACTACCAGACTTGCTTTGGATGCTGGACCTACATTTTTATTCCCAACTAACTATAAGCCCTGCCTGAACCAAACTGATCAAATTTTATACATGTACAAATTTCATGTTGCTTTACTAATATATCCTCGGCGGGGCATTCATGTCCTATGGACATATTTCTAGTTTTTTTTTACAATTAGACTTCAGTAATTGATTTCTGTTTGTCACCAGGATAAGTCCTGCTATTTGTTTTGACACATTGAATGTTAACATGTCAGAGGTTGAATGAATGTTATTTTGTGCTGTATACCTGACTGCTCTACAGCTGCATCTAAGTCCTTTTCATACTTTCTCAAAGCATCATCTTCATGAGTGATACCCCATGCAACAGCCTTGATGGACTCCAGATTGTAAGCCGACATCAGCTGTTTCTTCAGTGACAATGTCAATCTGGAGAAGAAAATATGATTTTTGGTTATTAATCTTATATTTCCTGCATCTTTATGTACAAATATCTAGTCATTACAGTCGAACCTCATTATCTCAAACTCAATGAGACCAAGAAAAATGTTGGAAATATCCGTGGATTCAAGAATAACACATAAAGAGTTATCAAGAATAAAATGTCCCAGTCTTTTATAAATGGTTTGGACTTCAAAATTACTGTGACATATCCATGAAATATGAGATAATGGGTTTGAGATAACAAAGTTTGACTGTAATTTTAAAAGTCTTTTTCGCAAAAATTTAATCACACGTCTTACCGCCTTTGCTTAGAACTGAGAACTGCACCAAAGTTGGAAGCTGATATGCTATATTTCCTTACAATCGACCACATTGGGTTGTTTCGTTGCCAATGCAGCTCTTTTAATGGATTCAGGGATAATGCATGCTGTAACCATACCATAGGGGTATCAGAATGAACATACTCTGGTGATGTTAACAGGTCTTCAATGAGAGGTACAGGTGGACCAGGTTCACATGGCTCTGGTTCAAGAATCCAATTCAATGCTGAAAAATTTCATTACTTGTGTCATTCTCAAAAATATCATCCATAATATCCATATCACATATACCAAGTATTTATATAAGAGTCCATACATTTCATTTTAGTGAACACTGTCATGGGTTTTTGTAATGTATGCATTACATATCAAATTTACAACTCACTTGCATATATTTGTTCAGAATTGTTCCTGTATATAATTTTGCACGTGGCATTCTTAGTGTGAAAATGCCATGTAAAAATTGGTGCAAATGTACAATTAATATTTACTTAATTATTAACAAGGTTTCATAATGACAGAGTATTTAAATAATAGAAGAATGATCTGATAATTCACAAGAATATGAAACAAAATATTTTTTTTAATGCAATTGAATAATTTATTTTTCCTTTCAAAAATGTATGCTCATGTACAAAAATGCTATCATATTTATAATATTGTCTTTCCAATTATTCAAAGGTTGTTATTAATATTTATTACATAATATGTTCAAAAATTGGGCAATATACATAGCCAACTATATTATACTCCTCATCTTTGTACATTTGTTCACAATTAAAATTAACCATCGTTCAGTAACAAAATAACAGTTTCATAATACTCGTAATATAAAAATCAAATCAAACTTAAATAACAACAATAGTGACACCAAAATCATAACTTCCTTCTTATATTTTACCAATAAACCTTCCAAGGTGCAAAAAACACTGGTCACTTTCATCAAAGGGTCGGTTTAAAGCACTTCAAATATGAAGCAAATTTTTTAACAACTGATTTATTTATATTTAATGATTGATCATTTTAAAAAAAAAACAAAAAAAAAAACAAGAGGCCCATGGGCCACATCGCTCACCTGAGCACTGTGGCTAGGAAAAAGTAAAAATTGGTTTTTTATTGAAAAGTTTAAATCCAAAAGTAGTCCCTTGACCAATCATGGCTTTGCTTTTCTTGAGAAGGTTATTTTTAAAGAATTTTCCTATATATTTCTATATAAAATTTGATTATCCTTTGTGGCCCCGTCCTACCCCCGGGGAACATGATTTGAACAAACTTGAATCTACACTACCTAAGGATGCTTCCATATAAATATGATCAATCAGGGTTTTGCTGTTCTTGAGAAGAAGATTTTTAAAGATTTTTCCTTTATATTTCTATGTAAAACTTTGATCTTCCACTGCAGCCCCGCCCTACCCCGGGGGTTATGATTTGAACAAACTTGAATTGACACTACCTGAGGATGCTTCCATATAAATAGGATCAATTATGGCTTTGTCATTCTTGAGAAGAAGATTTTTAAAGAATTTTCCTATATATTTTTATGTTAAACTTTGGTCAGCCATTGTGGCTCCGCCCTACCCCGGGGGTCATGATTTGAACAAATTTAAATCTACACTACCTGAGGATGTTTCTCCATAAGTTTCATTTTTCCTGGCACAGTGGTTCTTGAAAACAAGATTTTTAAAACATACCATCAAATTTTCATTAATTCCCAATTATCTCCCCTTGAATGAGGGTGTGGCCCTTTATTTGAACAAACTTGAATCCCCTTCACCCAAGGATGCTTTGTGGCAAGTTTGGTTGAAATTGGTCCATGGGTTCTAGAGAAGAAGTCGAAAATATGAAAAGTTTACAGACAGACAGATGGACAGACAGACAGACAAACAGCTAGATAGACAAAATGTGATCAGAAAAGAGCTAGAAATGAAACATTCCTCACCACAAAAGCCAGAAGAATATAGGGACCACCACCAGTAACATGTTTCTGGGAAGAACCAAGCCATGCAGAGATAAATATCAATAGTCCTGAATCTTCGATGCAGGACCAAGTACGAGAATTGCTACAAACACTACTCCGGAGACTTACCTATTATCCTATGATGTAACGTACTTTGTCCACTGCAGCTGGTTCCCTCATAAGCTGGTAGCGAGGACAGTTCAGGATGTCCTGTCAACTTTATTCCTCAACTTCCTGTCTTGGACTGAAAAGCAATAAGTGGAAATCTTTAGTGTTGCCTAGTGACTTTGAATTAAAAAGAAAGTTTTTAGATTGTGAAGGGGGGGGGGGGGGTACTGATGTTGTGCATTTTAATTAAATGTACGAAATCTGTATTTCACAGTTTAATGCATTCATGTATTTTGTGAATTGTCTTAGGATTCATGTAATAATTGTTGCTATGTATTATTAAGCACTAAATCTATTCAACTGCATGTGTAAATGGGGAAAATGTGGATATGTAAATGATGTATAATTGCAATGTGTAAAATGTGACATTTTCTTATATGAGGGAGTCTGTTCATGTCATTTTTTTTTCATTAATTATTTTATTTATCTTGATAAAATTATTTCAATTAACAATATTGTTTTTCTTACTAGTCTGATGAACTCAACAAAGGTTACAGAGGTGAATGGTAGAAATATGGGTATTACAGGTGTCAAAACTCTTCGTTGATGACAGACTGCATGCCGCACTGTAAAATCACCATTTTGGATCTTTAAAAGGGGAGGCTACTCCTGAAATCAAAGAAATTGTCATAAAAATGAGTAACCTGATTTTCTTTAGGTCTCACACAAGGAAATAATTTCACTATATGTTACTATATAGCTTTAATTAAATAAATTAATTAACTAGACTCTCAGCAGATAATTCATGAATGAGAAAAAAGATTAATGCTTAGACAAAATTTGAGATCAGAAAAAATATACCCCTTATGCAGCTTTTAAGAAAGAAAATTGAGACTAAACATACCTATACCCCGAAATACACATGGGCAAACAGCCAACACACCATCAAGGAAGTTACATCGATCATGCGTACCTAAAAAAAAAAGAGTTCCCTTTGATTCAGTGGCACAATTCTGCTGATATGATATTCCTAGTGCATGAGTCCAACATTAAAACTGTAGACCTACGTAAAGTTCCTGAAAATGAAAAAAGAAAAGAAATATTATTGTCTCTATATACATCATACATAGAACTACATTTGTTCATTTTAATTAGCTATCTCCTTGCATAAGACCTTTAAGGGGTAATTTTATGATATTTACCATGTGCACTGATTGCCATAAAACTAAAGAAAAAATACTAGCCTTACAAAGTCACTTAACTATGACCTTTGACATACCTTACTAAGAATACCCTGGACAATTTGGTTTAACTTAAGACTTCTGAATTTTTAAATGCAGGTTTTGATAAATTAACCATTTAATATACTTATGAGCTCATAAAACTGTCCTTTAAAACTGTATGATAAAGAGTGTAAAAACTTTGAAACATGTTTGGAAAGTATTATCACACATGTGATATGGGATAAATTATCACCACAGAAAGATCAAAGAAAATCACTGCAGATATGCGACAATAATTCTTATCATTGTTTATTGTATGTCAAGTCTAGAATATGATATATCATTACAAATATTATGATTTTTAGCCGGGCACATTGCTCGTAGAGCAATGCTCAGCTATAGCGACGGTGAGCAACAGAAAATGCTGCTTCTTCACCGCCAAATTGAGTTTACGAGTAAAAGTATGGTACGTGACCAGCCGCTGTTGAGAAAACAAAATCACCTTAAGAAATAGTAAATTGAATATTTTTATCATAATATTAAATTGTTTAATATTTTTTCCTGGCTCCTTTGACTAATATTTTACAAAGTAATTCAACGGGTGCGAAAGGTTTTCACCAGGTATCCCTGTCTGCATCATATTCTATAAACAATATAATTAAAATTAGATGTTAGATCGGCTCGCATACTCAACACACTAACATCTAACAAGTCATCCCATTGAGGGTCACGTAAGAGGTTAAATTCGGAACGCCTCAAGATTTATTTGCTTCAACAATATATGATGATTTTGCCAGCTGCGATTTGATTAATTGATAGAATTTGACCTCTGACGTGACCCTCAACGGGATGTTGTTAGATGTTAGTGTAGCGAGTATGCAAGCGGATCTAACATCTAATTTGAATTAGATTGATTCTATAAATAAAGGTTGTACTATCAGGCTAACACAAATGCAGGGAACATCATTAATGACTTGATGCAAATCTCACCGCTGAGGACACATCAGTGCAGAGACGTTTGACCTTAATCTTGCTGCATCGGTGTTTATTTACTTCTGTTTGTATATAAAACCGGATTACCCCAAAACGATACGTGATAAATATTTTTCGCTGTTAATTTCTAGCTATATTTTATTTTATTTTTAAAACTATTTAATATTATACATGCCATTGAGATATTTTTGTGTGTATTACATATTCTCTAAACGTCTGAACGTGATTTTAAACTGTCACCACAGTCCTTGTTCATTATCCTGTAAATGAGCCCGGCTCAATACATTTACTATAAAAATAATTGGACAAATTTGTGAATGACAATATTCAATGATGCATAGCAATTAATCTTTTCCTGACATTCACCTTCTCCTAAAAATTTGTCGTGTTATTTATTTATTTATTGCAAAGTCGTCCCTGGACTAGTGCTACGGTCAATGCAGCTGCAATGGGCCATGCAATTTCGAACCCTGCGTGGTGAGAGTTTGTCCCGAGACACAGTTAGATTATTCTAACTAGCACCAATATAGAATAAATCATACCGATTAATCAACATCACTACAATATGAGGACGTAAAAATAGGATAAAACATCCTTTAGTCCAGCAATAACTGAATAAGCCACTAAATTGTTTTTGATGTACCTTCAAACAAATCAAATTAATGTTCTTGATTCCCACTTTTCACGTTATGACTGACTTAGTGCTTCTTGATACCAAAACAATTTTTCTATTACCTATAATTTTGACTTTAGGTTGAATTCGCCAATTTCATGCTTGCGAAGTTGTGTCAATGTGTGCATTACGACCGCTCCGGCTACTTTCGTTATTTCTAACCAATGAAAATTGTCCTTACTTTTCTGTTGCGTCATGCAATTTTATTGCACGCATCACTGAATTGTAGAACACACATCACAAGATTTCGAATATACATCACAAGATTATCGAACATACATCACAAGATTTCGAATATACATCACAAGATTTCGAACATACATCACAAGATTATAGAATATACATCACAAGATTTCGAATATACATCACAAGATATTGAATATACATCACAAGATTTCGAATATACATCACAAGATTATCGAACATACATCACAAGATTTCGAATATACATCACAAGATTTCGAACATACATCACAAGATTATAGAATATACATCACAAGATTTCGAATATACATCACAAGATATTGAATATACATCACAAGATTTTGAACATACATCACAAGATATTGAATATACATCACAAGATTTCGAATATACATCACAAGATTTCGAACATACATCACAAGATTATAGAATATACATCACAAGATTTCGAATATACATCACAAGATATTGAATATACATCACAAGATTTTGAACATACATCACAAGATATTGAATATACATCACAAGATTATAGAATATACATCACAAGATTTCGAACATACATCACAAGATTATAGAATATACATCACAAGTTTTAGAATATACATCACAAGATATTGAATATACATCACAAGATTTTGAACATACATCACAAGATTTTGAATATACATCACAAGATTTCGAACATACATCACAAGATTTTGAATATACATCACAAGATTTTGAATATACATCACAAGATTTCGAACATACATCACAAGATTTTGAATATACATCACAAGATTTTGAATATACATCACAAGATTTCGAACATACATCACAAGATTTTGAATATACATCACAAGATAATCAAATATTGCAACGTTTGACATGCCATAATAGTCCCTATCGAGCCCAAAAGCAATTAAAAGCCCAAGAAGAAGAAGAAGCCAATAAGAAATTAGAACAAATCGAGGAAAATTGGCTATCATTGCCTAAGAAATGAAGAAGAAGAAGAAGAAGAAGGGAGTAGAAGACATTTTAACAGAGATTTATTACGATCCCAAGAGAGGGTATGGAGGCATACAGACTTTGTATCGTCAGGTCAAAAGTCTGGGACATAAGATTTCTTTGAACACCATACGAGAATGGTTAAAAGAGCAAGATACCTATACCTTACATAAACCCATTCATAGAAAATTCCGGAGACAACAGACCAGAGTGACGGATATAGACGAACAATGGCAATTAGATTTAGCGGATGTGTCCAGTTTAAAGAAACATAATGACGGTTATACGTTTTTATTGTGTGCCATTGACGTCTTATCTAAATATGCATGGGTGGTGCCTTTAAAACAGAAAACGGGGAAAGAAATGATTCGCGGATTACAAGAGATTTTCCGACAAGACGATCGACGTCCCGTCCGCATTCAATCGGATCAAGGCAAAGAATTTACCAATCGAGAATTCTTACAGGCGTTTAAATCCATTCATTTCTTTACCACTCGCAATACGGACACTAAAGCCAGTATCGTGGAACGATTTCAGAGAACCCTCAAAGCACGCATGTGGCGATATTTCACTCGGAATAAAACCAGACGGTATTTAGAGATCTTACCGGATTTAGTGTATGCTTACAATCATACCTATCATCGCAGTATCTAAAGAACCCCAGCTCAAGTGAAGCCCTCGAATGTGTTAAAAGTCTGGAAAACTTTATATGGGGAAGAATCATCACCTAAACCAAACCCCCCCAAGTTTAAAACAGGAGATAAAGTGCGCATCAGTAAAGCTAAACGCACTTTTGAAAAAGGATATTTACCGAACTGGACCACGGAAATATTTACCATTGCTCAACGAGTCCCCGGTCGGTATCCTTACGTGTATCGAGTACAAGATTATAACCAGGAGGAATTAGAAGGGACTTTTTACGAGAAAGAATTACAACAGATCATTAAAAAAGACGACGTGTACGAAGTGGAGGAAATCTTAGGGTATAAAAAGCGACGAGTCGGGAAGAAAATCATTCAAGAAGTCAAAGTCCGGTGGAAAGGATATCCCCCTAGTTTCGATTCATGGATTCCCCAAACGGATCTCATCAAATAACACCTCATTGGAAATGTTGTGGAGAGAATATTCCTCGAGAAGAAATTGTGTATTTTGCCCAATTATTCATTTGTATTTCCCTCATCATCACCAGTGTGGTCATGTTAGCTTTACACGATTCTAATCGAGAATATTGGATGGTCTGTGTGAGTTCTTCGGTCGGTTACATCATGCCTAGTCCTACCATGATACATCATACCCCTAGGGTCAAGAAGACCAATTCACCCAGTTAATCCCAGAATCTAAAAATAGATACACCCTATAAAAAGGAGACACCATAACCCTAAGAGGATCATTTCTGATCTGAGTGAGGGACAGAGCACACATCATGGATTTTTTAAGCTCAGAGTATCGTTGGAAAATAGTAGAACCTGAAGGGACTAGTCACAAAGGAGAATGGATGAAAAACAAAGAGACATGTATTCAAGATTTCTTTGATAAGAATCCAGGACAAACAGGTCTCAATGAAATCTACCTGTATAAGAGATTCAAGTTACCGCACCGCCAAAGAAGCAAACATATGCTCTTAATATGACCCACATCACCTAAATATGGAGAATTTAAATGGAAAGTCAATTACGTCTTGGCTCACCGAACACAGGGACCCGAGAAGACTTGGATTCATGGGAAATGGGTGAAAAAAGCCGGAGATTGTATAAAAGACTATTTGGAAGAAGTGGTCGTAAAAGGATACGATATCATGGACTGTGCTTGTGAAACAGACTATTTGTACATGAGGAGACCTTTTCCCATACAAAAAGAACTGAACAGAAGTTTTGAATGTTTGTTATTATAATGATGTTCTTGTTATGAATCAATAAAATAAAAAAGAAAAAAACCCAAAAATTCTAGTGTTGTTATTTTTTCCTATATACATATGATGCAACAGGTATAAAAAAGATGATGCAATAGATATCAAAAAGATGATGCAATAGATATATAAAGATGATGCAATAGATATATAAAGATGATGCAATAGATATAAAAAAGGTGATGCAATAGATATATAAAGATGATGCAACAAGTATCAAAAAGATGATGCAACAGATATCAAAAAGATGATGCAACAGTAAAGGTATATAAAGCGGAGCTGAGAGTACCCTGCGCTCATTGTACTCAATTTTGAAAAAGGACACGGAACAAGTCAGACGTGTTTTTGTTTCAAAGATGCAGTATCGCTGGTCTATTGACGAAGAAACTTTTGGGCCTTGGATGAAAACTAAACTGGGAGCGGTGATGGATTATTTTGAACATCATCCAGGACAATTCATGAAGGATTTCAGGAAAGAATCATGGGCTGACCAGGGATTTCTTGCAAAAATATTTCCAGAAAAAAAAGTGTGGTTGGAAAAAAGAGTCAAAATCCCTTGCCCCCTCAAAGGATATAGAGTGAGGGTAAAAACCAACCAACATTATCAGCAATACAAATGGGAGATCCACGATGATCTTGGAACTCTAGCTAAAGGTCTCTGGTACATGTATTTAAAAGCGTGTATTGAAGATTTAATGAGGACCAAGAAAGAAGAAGAAGCCTTAAAAAGAGTTCTTCCAGACACTTATACACAGTACCTGTATTGTCGCATCCCCTTTACCCGGATTAAAGACTGGATGGAAAAGAAAGGACTTGGGGTGTAGAAGCGACTGATTGAGGACCGATCATCAGAAGACGAAGAAATAGATGTGTAAACTTTTTTGAATAAATTTTTTAAATTTTTTTTCAAAAAGTGTTGTTATAAATACAAAGGTCTTAAGGTCTAGAGTCTCAGTCTTAGATTGAACATGGGCGAGAGCAGTGGGTTTTACATGACTTTACCCAGTGATGGGTCTATGGCCTCTTTTTCTAGCAATACGACTGCTCAGTTTAAAACCTTATTACCACAATCCCTAGATTTAACCGACGGAGAATGGGAAGTGGCTTTAACAGAAATGATGTATCCCAATTCATTGAAAAACATTACAGAAAAGGAGGCTTATTTTGACATCCTGGTTCCTCAGTCTTATGCTCGCCATATCAAAAACCCCAATGTTTATGGCAGATTTAAAATGAAAACCTTAGACCCAATGCCATTACGTCAATGTCCTGTACTGCTCGATTGGGCCCATACTAAACGGCCTGCACTCGTTGAACTAGATAGCAAGATGGAAATTAGACGAATTCACTTCAGACCCGGGCCTTACACTCACCCCAAGGCCTTAACAGAGGAAATAAGTCTAGGACTACAGAGATCATTGAAAAAAATATGGAAAACCCTTGGTGATGGAAATGAAGACAAATCTATGAAATTAGTATATTACGAGACCTATGATCGAGTGATGTATGAAACCAATGAAAAAATGCTTAGTCCCTTATGCATTCGTTTCCCCACATCCTTAGCTTATAAGCTAGGCATGGACAGTCAGAAAGTCATTCTTCAGAACGATACAGAAAACATGACCAAATGGATCAACATTAGTTACTTGGGAAACAATACTGTGGATTTATATGAAAATCTGAAATCCATGTATGTCTATTGTGACCTGATTCAACCCCAGACGGTAGGATCCAATGCCTTGAAACTCTTAAGAGTGGTGCCTT